TAAAATATTATTAAGATATTCCTTGTACAAAATGACTTGTACATACCTAATTATCCTACAGCTGGCCGATTATTTACATATTTTTATCTAGAAAGCTTTACTTAATGAAGATTTTGATTGTTAAATTATATTAAACATAAATAGTATAAAGAATCGTGCTGTTGTTGAGACAGTTTGGCATTAAACTATGGATAAGTAGTACATAGAAAGATAGATTATAATGATTGTATAAGAATGTAGAATAATTTTTACTTTTTAGTTGAATAATGTTGTCGATTCTTTATTAGAACTTTTCATTATTGCAAAATAATAAGTTAGAACACATTTATTTCAGATTATAATTTTCATTAACTTTTCTAATGGAACTATATTATTATGCCTAGAAAAGATGACTTTATGATATACAATAATGGTTGTAAATGCATGTATTTTTAAGTTTTAATTATTATTTGTGATTTATTATTATGATGTAAGAAAATAGTTAAAATCTTTATGAATCATTGTCTCCAAATATATGAATATTTTTCAAACTGTATCACTGAGACATCAATTATTTTTATAAGTTATTCATTACAATTATATAATGACCAATAAATTAATTTGTTTCAATTAATTGTATGAAATGAAATTTGTTAAATGTTCGTACAAAATTTACACTTAGAAATACTTCACCGCGTTATACAATATTTAAAAATAAAAATAAATAATATTAATTTTATTTAAATGAATCTTCATAATTGTATTTATTAATTTCCTACTCTCTGTCGAATTTTAGTTTTGGCTTTTAATTTGAAAATTTCATTGACGATAGTTCAAAATGTTTGTTTATATTTTATTTATGTACTAGTTGTTTATTCGATACAACTATTGTAGTTTATTTAAATGGCTGAGTCTGCCTTATGTATAAATATGTAATATTATAATAGTACATACCATTTAAATTTAAATACATCACATATTTATTAATTCACTTAATATATATAATATTTTTCATATATATTGTTTCTGTGATGTGGAGGGATTCATTTGTACAATTCATGCATTTCTTCGTTAATTTTTTTTCATTGCTTTGTTATTGAACCGCCGTGTAATTTCACTGCTATTTTATAAATACGACATATTTTACTTATTTAGACAGTTTTTGTTTTATAAATTAAAATTTATTAATGCAAACAGCCTCCAACGGATTGCTCTATATTTATTTTCTTAAATTCGAATATTCCTACATGCTTTAGTAAGTCTTTCTTCTTATCATATAATACCAGGTTAAATTATAATTACACAATCTACAAGAATTTTATTGAAAATTTATGACGTGCTTGGATGACCCAAAATATTTATTTACTTAAAAAAATATTCCTACTTATATACTTAGCAATTCCTCAAATAGTGCTGGGAACATTTTTTCGTTAATTCAAGTAACATATTATTATTTAATATACAACTTTGATTACGCTCAAGCTTGGAAACTATTTATTCATTATTAATTTGATTTTAAAATTCCAAAACAAGAAGAAAGACTTGATATATATATATATATATATATATATATCAAGATTATCTTGCTTGATATTTGTTTATCAGTAATACATTCATTAGAAACTTGGTTTCCCCAACAATTAATGTATTGTCCATAAATGATATGTCCGCTAAATTTTATTTTCTTTTTCTTTTGTATATTTTATTTCGCGTTGCCCCATCTTAGGGTCGGAATAAATAACAATTTACTCTTATTCTGAAATCTTAAAAAGAATTAACTTTTTCCAGGGACTCGTAATTTTATCAACTTACGAACGATGTACAAATCTCAAGACTATCAAACACTATTTTATACGAATGTTGGAGACTGTCGCCATCTTGATTTTTCATGAATTTTATCGTATCATAAATAATTTCCTACATGATTATATAATTTTTACACCTGAAAGAGTACCTTGGAAAGTATACAGATTACCTGCACTCAATCAAAGTTAATGTAAACCGATCATTATATATAAACGCACGAAAAATTTTAGATGTGTATTGTTTTGATATGATTTTGAAAGTTATTCGTTAGAAGTTTTCATTTGATCACAATCAATTAAAACTCCTAGACATGGTATTAATTTATGGCACATTTAACATTACATTGAGAATTTAATCACATACTATACGATCACTGTATATTGTGCTTCATTTATTTGTTGCGATTCGATGGTTTCAATATTACTCCATCTTTATTTAATATATTCTTTTGCACAATACATACAAATTAAGCTTCTTCTTCTTTAATTATTTATGTATATTTATTTAATTCTGGACGTTTGATTTAATTTTGTTTCTACTTAGGTTTTTTTTAAACTAGATTTCTAAAAACGTAATATAAACTATCATTTCCTTCTTGAAGTAACAAATCATTAAAAATTAAAAAAAAGAATTAAAACTTTTATTATTAATTTTCTAAAAACTAATTTAAAATTGTTATTTACATTTATTTAAAACCATTTGAAACATACGAAACATTAAAGATTTTGAGCTATGAAATTTTACCAAAAATGAACAACGTTAAATGAATGTTTTTTGATATCTGCTATTGTATAAATGTTTTCAAATAGCTCATCAAATAATAATTGAAAATTCTATAAAATAATTTCTATAGAAATAACTTTCTGTTGATTTTATTTAATTAGAATTAATTTTAATTTTTTATAATTGTCATTAATTGTGAACAACATTTATTGAATCATCAATGATCTTTAAAAATATTTTTGCGATTTATGAATATTAAATTATGAATTATATATTTTTGAACGTCGTATACATTAAAAATTTTATTTATAATTATTATATTTTAATTTATATTAATTGCTAAATGAATAATATTATTTAAAAAGGTTTTACAATGAAATAAGAAAATATGAATACTTTATAAATTAATCTTCAACACTTATTCTGGAAATTAAAATAAAATAATCTAAAAAATTTAATGCTTCGTGAAGAACTTCATAGTTTAAAAATAGTCTTCAGAATATATATTAATATATTAAAGCTAATGACTTTCAATGAAATTAAAAGATTAAAAAATATAATAATTGGACTAGAATTGTCGTTGCAGAGCTAACCTGGTCGGTTTATGGATATGAGTTTTATAAAAGAATATTAAGCTGAGACACTATAATTAAACCACGCATTCTTTGCAATAACATCTTGGTCTGCTCTTAAATTGCATATAGTTATATTAAGTCTATAAAAAATTGATTTAAATAAATAAAAATTAAATATAGAATTTTTCTAGATTGTTAGTTACATATGCAAGTACATACTTACTATATGTCTACGTAATGAAGTTTTGATTTTATTTATATTTATTTTAATTTTTATCATTTTCACATGATATTCCATATAATGTTTTTGAGTGGGTTCATTTATTTCCTCTTTATCATGTAAATGTTTGCCTGTCTCAAGGTCTCAAATATACAATCGATAAATTTAAGCAATATATGTTGTGTTTGCCTGTGCATATAGAGCTTTCTTTTATTTGTTTGATTATGCATTCGAAATTCAATTTCTTCATCTTAAATATGTATCACGCGTTCCATTAAACTTGAACAACATGTTATCATTTAAAGTAATCACCGTTCAATTAATAAATTATTTATAAATTACATCCATTTTTTGTTCTATATACCTATACATCAGATATCTATATTACATATATAATATATTTATAGAATATATATGTATATATATATATATATATATATATATATATATATATAAATATATAGATATAGATATAGTAAAAATTATTTATCGCCTATAGTTTTATAAAATTGTCGTTAACCAATTAACTAAATGAGCTGGGATAAAACTTTGGTTTTTTTCTAAAGCCTTCAAAGTATTAAAACATCATAATATGAAGAATAAATTGAAGTATATCTATGCACATAAAGATGCAGACAAATAAATACAACGAATCGATTTCACCTACCAAATAACCATTAGTAACGTTGAACCAGGCGACCAAAACTTTAATAATATTTACAAATGCAAGAGAACACGTGAAAATATAGTAAGGGCCATTTAATCCGAAGTAACATTTTTTCTAAATACACATCAATTTATATATTGATAATATAAATTTTATACAGCATGTAATAGACACATTTTATTTTCATTCTTTTGGACACGGACTATTTATATAATGAATTATACATTTTAGTCACTGGGTTCAATATATTATTAGACCGAAAATACTGTTAGTATAAGTAGAAAATGAAGAATTTAAAGCATAAATTTTAACGTAAATAAGACATTAAGTGCAAGTAAGACGTAACAGGTAATAACAATGTCTTTACATGGCACAATTTCTATATATAATTTTGCATGCAAGAACAAGAAGGACGTATTGTTTTCCCTTATATCTTGTAACATTGTTCTTACTTCTATCTCATTTATATTTTTGTTTTCAATATTTTTAAGTCTACACAGATTTAGCGATGTGATCGACGGGTTTTAGATGGAGAGAAGTATTTTTAATCATTTTTACGTTATTCATTTTTAGGCCATTTTAGTCGATGAACTTCGGATGATCGCGACATTAAATTTAATGATTTTTTAAATTTCAATTTAATATTTATCTTTCCTTTTTTGTTTTTAATATACATTTTTAGATGAAAGTTACGTTGTATTTTATACATTTTTATATCAAATATAAACAAAAATAATTAAGATATCTCTCTAATTAAAAGCTAAAAACAGTGATCCTAATTGTATCTAAAATAATTTAAATAAACTTACTTCTAAACAATCGATTGTATCATAATTATAACATGTTCAATTACCAAGTGAATAATTTAATTTTCCTTATATTTATTGTTTGATGCAATTAAAAATAATATTGAAGGAAAATATTTTAAAAATTTTAAAGTCTTTGGATCAGTGGTAACTGACTAATACAGTAATATCAAGAATTATAATATATATGTTAATTTACATCGTGTAAATTAAAGTATCTTCGTTTTTTTTTAACATATATTTCTATTTAGAAATTTACTCACTCTATTGGCTTACGAGCCTCAACATAGTGTATTAGCGGATAATATTGTTTCATATCATTAATACGATTTCTACGCGGAGGTTCCGAATGAATAGCTTTCGTTAAGGTATCTTTAGTGTCGCTGTACTGCGTATTTCATCCTATGGTGGTCGAAGTCTTGGAGGATTATGCCATACATGATTCGTTTGAATATCACAATTCGTCGAGGACACTTGATGTTGATGCTGTTGCCGGTGATACTGATGAGTATGATTCAACAATGTATTCTGTTGCTGATACTGTATTTGAATATTACTCGGCTGATGATGATATTGGTGTTGATTTGATTGAATGCCTTGATTATCATGTTGGAGCGGGTGTTGCTGCTGTTGCTGCGGTTGATACTGCATTTGATGTTGATGTAACTTTTTAGATTCCTGACCCATTGAATCGGGAGAAGGCATAGGTCGATGAGATTTCATGTGTGCACTTCTGCTTTTCACTTTGTTGAATACTCTGTGAAAATATGTAAAATGATATTTGTATTTCTAATTTCAAAGAGTGTAAATCTTTTTTGAGTTTAAAGTTCCCTTCTTTATATTGAAATTTATCATGCGAAATACTTTCTAATATCGGATGTAGATATCAATGCATATAAACATATATCAGATAATATTTTAAAATAGACTGTATTTTAAATATTTTGTATTCAATTATAAATAATTCATCTAAAGAAACAATTATTTTATTTAATTTTTTTAAAACTCTAGTTAAAATAAGAAATAATATTATGTATAGTTAAAACATGTGTTTTATAATAAAATTATAAATATATAAGTATGCGGAAACAAAAATTATACTTATTCTTGCATATTAAATATTATTTGTAAGATATAAATAGAAAATGAGTTTGGAAAATTATTAAGGCTAGGCAGCAATACATATTTTTAATAAGAATATTACTAAAAAGTAGTTATTTAAGAATTTCAGCTACAATTCGTTTTATGCTATATTATTAAATGTACTATTAAAAATATGCATTTGTTTTTTATTAGTTCTACATGTCGATTCATTGCATAAATAAATATATGAAATGTTAAATATAGGTACATGTAAATATTGTTCTAAAATAGTGTATTATTTTATGCATATATTTTCTTAGTCTAAGTGATTAATTCATAATAAAAAAATTATAGTATTTAATATTGGTAGGTGTTGAATAAAAATCTTGTCTGATATCTTTTAACAAGTACATCGAAATTAATGGAAATATAACAAAATTCATGATTTAAATAAATTCATTTCTACACTTCTATGATTACTGAAAATACTTGTATATTCAATTAGTTTAAAAAACTATACTATATTGATGAAATATAAATAATTTATTATTCAGAATTCCCTTTTAAATTATTTGTTTTGTTTACTTTTGAGATTCAGACAGCCATTGCCAATAATATAAATCTTAATAGTGATTTAGCAAATAAATGCAAATTATTGTTTCATCTTTTGTTTATAATTAATAAGTAATATAATATATAATATCTGGAAATTTAATAAATATTTAAATATGCTAGTGTATTAAATTGATGCAAAATCTTATGACAACGTTTTATAAATTATATAAATTATACAACTACAATCAATTAATATTTATAATTTAATAATACGTTACTTAACTATAATTATTTATTTTTAATACAAATTTATATTTTGTTTGCAAAATAATTGTTTAAAAAATTTAACTTTTATATACTATGAAGTAATAAATAATTTATACTTATATTATTGAAAAGTAATGTATTCGTGGGAATTACAAATATTCTACGAAAAAAAAATTCAACATATTCCAAAAAATAAATTATTCTAGTATTTAATAATTTAGTTCTTTATAAAGTTTTAAATTACTATATGATTTTTAAATAAAAATAGTTTCCGAGATGTATAAAAAAATCAAAGTAAATCAAATTAGAAAACAATTTAGATGTATTTCATACTTTGAAATTCAAAAATAAAGATTTACAAATAATTTTATTAAATATTTATAATAATTATATAATAATTTATATAAATATTTTATTAAATTGTATTAAATGTAATTTAGTTCATTATATATTTCTTTATATATATATTCATATGACTCCTCTGATTTGGTAATTTTAAAAGTAAATTGGGTTTTGTTTTAATTATTGTTCGTTCAATGACTATAAAAAACTACGTAATTTAAATTTTTCAATAGAAATTCAACAGAATTGTACTTATGCAGAAATTAAAGCAAATTAACCAAAGAAAAAAAGGAAAGCAGTAATGATTCAATTCTCTTTTCTCTATCTCTCGTATCTTTTGCCGTCTTTTTTTTTAGTTTATTTTTATTGTTCACATTTGTATTTGTTAATTTTACTCACTAAATATCGAATTTCCAAATACTGTGATATGCAATAAAAGCAATTTGTATATACATACACGCATGTATATAAATATACGTGCAGTTCACGGAGACGGATAAACGGACGAGTTAAGATTAGAGATTTAGAGACTTACTTCCCGCAAATCTTGCAGGGGTAGTGAAGTAGGGTGGGCGCGGGTAGTTGTTGCTCGGTACTAGTGTGAGTTTGTGAGTTGGTGTGGTCGACTGTGAGATAGCCAGCAGTGCTACCGGCTTTGCTGGTGATTCGGGCGCTCCCACCCATCGTTACTGTTACGCTCCCACTAAAGCTCTGGATAACACAAAGAAAACACAAAGCCAAAATAAACAACAAACATAACACAAACCTTTTATTCATAGCATTCGTTTTCGCTCGGAACTCCCTTACAATAATATCGCTAACAATCGTTACCAACAAAAAATAATTATATACTGGTTATAAATATACATTGCAAATACTTATTAATGAAACAGCGAGTCAAAAATAAGTAAAAAATTATATATATATATATTTATTTATTTATGCATATAGGTGGGTGAAAATTCAATCGTTTAGTGTCAATAAAAAGCGTATGTTATAAGGATGGATAGTAATAGACTACAATAATTAGTTTCATGTACATGCGACAATTAATTAAATGATAATTAATTAGTTGTACCTATAAGCTCAGTGTTATTGTAGTGCATATATACAAATATTTTTAAAGTTTGTCTATGATATATTCATCGGTTTCGATTTTTGAATTTGTTCTTTGTGCAATTAGGTGTTATAATGATTTGTTTATTTGTTTATTTTGTTGCCATAAATACTGTTTAACATGATTTGTTAGTAATAATATAATATAATAAGTGTACTTACATCTTGACAATCATATGCGAAAAGTCGCAATTCCCCTTCGCTAGTCGTTAAAGTAGCAGAGTTCTCCCTTTCATTTGTTGTTTGCATCTAAAGATATTAAATAAAGATATTAAATCTAAAGATAAGTAAATAGCAAAATATAGCTGTATTAATTAATATAAAAATGTAAACAAATTATCATTTATCAGGTACACAAACAATTATTTTTATTTATAATTTTTTTCGTTAAAATAGTAATTATGTTCCGGAGAACGAATTTTGTATTTACGTTGTAGAAAAGAACTACTTTATTATAATTACATTGCATAGCATGCGATTCATTTCAACATAACAAATTTCAGTAATTATTAAATTCCTTTCAAATGTAACGCAATTTATAGTATATTTTTTAAATTATATGAAAAACATATAGTTATTTTATAGCATCTTTTTATTATTGCTCAATTTTCAGAGCTTTCCTCTATGAAAATAAAAATTTTTTTCATGAAATTTACCAAAGTTCTATGAAGAATAGATTTTCCTTCACTAAAATCCAGATCAGCTACTGAAGCAATTGCATCGCATAATTCGTTTGTATCCTTACAATCCCTTTCATATTCGTATTTAAGTTTTGGTTTGCCATAACGCAATTGTAACCTTTTATATTCATCAGGACATAGTCTTTTCCAAAGGTAATAGAATTGTATACACTGTCTCGTATTCTTAGTTCCAATATCATACGCAATTGCAGTAAAATTTTTGTTGTACTTTAGTAAGTTCTGATAGAAAGAATCCATTTCGTGAGATGTCCAGCGATCGGATTCTTGACATTCGTAGCTATGCAATGGGTGATTTGATGTTAGCGCCGGAGTAGGTCGCATTAGTTTTAACATCGCTTTCTGTACGACAACAAAATCATGTATTAAGGAATTCTGTACCTGAGATTTAATTGTGACTAATAAAAGATAATGAAGTAAATATTATTCTAGGGACCTACGATAAATTATTTATATCATATAATAATATTTATATAATATAATAATATATTTATAACAGAGATATAAATTATAATATATAATGAAACTTTTGACCAATAAGATAAATGATACATTATAAAAAATAACAGAAAGATATTGGAATAATTCATTATTAAAATTTATATCTTCATTTAACACAAATCTCAATAAAAAATATTGGAACTAACCATTTTCTTCAACTTATGTACATACATATATACGTGTTTAAATTGTTTTTATATCAACTCACTCGAATGTTGCCCATACACATATGTAGAAGGTGAAGAGCATACTCCTTATTTCTGCCGCCACCTGGAACTGCAGCGCAGCAGGCAAATTGAAGATACATTTCCACTAAAATGTTTAAAATCATAATACCTTAATATAAACTTAATAGTCTCTGTAATGATCATACATATTTTTATAATTTTAAAAACTTTATATATATATAATTATTTTTAATGTATTATTATAAATTATTATAAATATACTTTTAAATATAGTGCCACTATATTTATCATATTCATCTCTATACTTTATGTAAGTTTTTTATTTGAAGATTCTTAAAAAAATACATTATTGAATTTAAAAATCTAAAGAATCGGAGTGAATTAGCTTAAAAGTAATACAACTAACGTTCCGTTTCAGTAAGAGCACTATCTATGCCCGGATCCCATAGAAGATGGTCCATTTCAGGTTCGGCAGTGAGTCTATCGCTATCGATTTCCACGATTTGAGGTATCGTTGCTTGATATCGTGTGCCAATATTAATTCTTGGTGGTGGGCCATCATTTCCTTGGGAGTCATCTGAGCTAAAATCCGTAGGGTCTTTTTCATTTTGGTGTAATCGTGCATAAAGGCCGGATCCCGATCTGGATGGGTCTAAGATTGGTGGCGGTGTGTAACTGCTGTCCCAGTGTCGATCACAGGCTCGACGCAATCTCGACGAATACAAATATGAACCCTTGTTATGTAACGGTATGTCGAGACGAGGTCGTTTTTTATGATGGCGTAATGGACTACTGGAGGCTGTTAGTGATATGCTTCTTGGACTCAGAAATATATCATCATCTGGTGACTCTTCTTCTTTAATATGCTCGATTGCCATAGGTAAATTATTACAGACTTTATGCTTCAGATTCGGCCTTACTGTTTGATTTGTTTGGGTCAAAAATTTTGCTGGATTAATCGTTGGCTGTAATGATGACTAATACATATTTTCATTAGTTAATCTATTTTCTTAATACTAACCACACGAAAACTTATTAAAATTGTAATATTTTTCATTAAAGTAAAACAAATGTATAAACATGCAGAAAGTGATATGGCGATTTAATAAATCGATTGTTCATTTTAAATTATAATCATAGTTAATAATTGATACCATTTATATATAACGCACTTATGGGTATTAAATGTGTATTTATTTGTATTTATTTTGTATATATTTTGTATATAATTGTTTATATAAATTTAAGATAATATTTTTAATTATTCAGAGATGTATGTATTTGTAATTATTTCAAAACTTTTTAATATTTAGTCGACCATGAAAGTATACATAAAAATCATACAGACATTCATTATTTAAGTATATTAGAAATATTAATAAATATTAATGATGCGAATGAGATTTACAGCTTTACAATGATTTAATAATTTAATTCAATTAAAAAACTATATAGAATTTTATTCTATCACATTATAATTATAAAAATGAAACAATGTTATTAAGAATTAATGAAATATTCACAAATGTAAATGTTTTTTCCAAATTAATATATTGTTGTAGGATTTGATTAATATAATAATTATACAAATTTTTGAAATTGAATTATATTTTATTTGATTCGCTTTTTTTAAAATTTTAATTTAGTATTTTCAACTAAAGTTTTAATTATTTTTTATTAGAATTTCTAAACAGTTTTTAAATTCATATAATTTAAAAATATTAAAATTTATGAAGAAATAATTAAAAGTAATAATTATCAAAGAAATCTACGCACCTGGTGAATTTGCGTTTGTGAATAAATTTGACTCGGTATATTTATTCCCTGGTCATTAACCATATTAAGATGAACATTATTAGTATTAATGTTCCCATGTTCGTGTTTCGAACCAGTTAGACAAATTTCTTTTCTAAAAGTTGGTACTGGACTCAATGCATTTGCATGTACGTAAACATTCGTTTTCTTTAAACCAGCTGTCTGAATTAGTTTGAACTCCCCATTATTATCAACAACAATACCAGCTACACTTCCATCACTCAATCCAAAATCTACAAGATTCTGATTGGTAATGAGTTTATAAGATTGAAACTCAAACTTCCGCCTGGTAGTGCCAAAGTCTTTCGGGCTTGAAGAAAGTAACGGATCCTCCGAATTGGGCATCATTTGGCTTTGGAGTGTATGATGTGGTGACATTGGAAAATTAGTGGTTGTAAAGCTAGCAGGTCCGGGTGAAGAGACAGAGGAAGGCGGCAAAGATGAAAGCGGGGAAGGTGCTGGGGTTGCCGATAAGGGGCTCGGCAATGGTGAGTGGGGATTCGGACAACCTGTTGCGTAGAGATCTGCTCCAGCGGCGTCTGTTTCATCCGGAAGAACTTCGTTTAGGGCCTCTTCAATAGCTGCAGCCGAAGACATACTGGTACTATAGAAAGCAGCCGATAGTGGCGAAGACACTGAATGTACTGCGTCACTATCTTCTTGTGGACTGAGTAATGGTAGACTACCGCTGAGTAGGCCTTCTTGGCTTGCTGGTGGAGTTGGATACGTAAAGCTTGGGCTATCGTGTCGTGTGAGCGGCGATGGTAATGGTGACTGACTTGGCAAAGTATGTGAACCTTCGTTATAATTAGCCCCATAAGTACTGAATTCAGCTAACGAGTCAGGTAGAGGTGAATTTACGAGAGCCTGCAGGTCTGGATTTACAGTATGTTGTGCAGAGAAACGATCTTCAAGATTTATATCCTGGAGTGCTTCATTCGTTGTTTGATCTTGCAATAAATTTGATGCCTGAAACTTTTAGATTTGAACAATATTACTTAATTGTTAATTATAAAATGATGAAGACTTAAGTCGAAAATAAAAATAAGAGAAATTATAAAATTAATAAATAAAATAAATAAATATTATATATGGTAATTAAGTTACTATTCCGTTAAATAACATTGAAAAAATTAAATACTATATATACATATATATATTACTGACTGTAACACGCTACTATTAACGTAGATGATCTAGCAATATAATATATATAATATTAAAATTATTAAATTTTATTATTCAAAAAAAATTGAATTTGATATAGTGTTAACGATAAATTTATCATTTATTGTATATAAAAATTAATGAAAATGTAAATAAATTTAAAGCGAAATAATATGATCTTACATAATAATTCATAACGGATTTAAAAGATTAGAAATGATTATAATATTTAATTTGTTACTAAAAATTGTCTTCATTAGTGTTCAGAATTGGAGCATTTTCCAAAACCTTGGCCCTCGGAAATTTATAAGCTTTTTAGTTCTCGAATTTCGTAATCATTACGTTTCTCGGAGTTCAACAACCTTCCAAAGCTTTACTTTCCCGGAATTTCCGAAACTTCCACAGCTTTATTCTCGAATGTCCTGCAATGTTTATCTAGTCTCTGTATAGCAACACTTATCCATTGTTACCAGCTAACTAAGCTGTCGCGTGGATATATAAAGCAAGCACGCGTCAAGACTGTCTCTCTCTCTCTCTCTCTCTCTCTCCCTCTCCCTCTCTCTCTCACCCTCTCTCTCTCTCTCCCTCTCTTTCTCTTTCTCTTAGCAGGGCCGCCATGGAAGGAACACACGTTCAGTTGCGTGTAACAAGATAACCAGCAGTGAAAAGGTGTTGGAAGGATAAATGAACGGCGTAATGATAACGTATAATTCAATATTCAAGTGAGATGATATCAACCTTCACGATTAAGGGCTGACCCCCACGTATAGTCCCCGAGTGCACGAAGTGGTAGCGGGGAGAGATCAGTAAGTTTTACTTCCACAAGTCAGTGCAAGTAAACACCACATAACGCCACACCAAGGAGGTGACTAGCAATCAGGTCACCCCGTGGCACTACACTAGAGGTGTCCAGAGATTTACGACCTGCCACTTCTCCATGTAGTAATCCACTGCCAAGAGCAGCGCGTCAAGAAGATCCGGAGATTTACGACCTCCTACCTCTAGATGTAGGGCATGCTAATACGATCTCTACATGTAGTGCATACCAAGATCTAAGCGATTCTCATAGTCACCATAGAATAATTATAGTGTAGTTGTAAAATAAAACGCAATAAACAACGACGAAAAGCAGATGTGTTGAATACTAAATTGACGTACTAGCCCTTCCACTTATCCCCACTTTTTTCCTATAGAATATATTTTAAATATCATTTCATTTTATTTTATTAATCCATAATTATATAAAAAATTTCTAAAATTGAAATGTTAATAAATTATCATATTAATAAAGTGAAAAGTAAAAAAATTATATTATTATTTTATTCTTTAATTTATTTTAAATTATTAGGTTCTATTGGACAGATAATTTATATTATATTAAATTTATCATTTTTCAAAAATAAAACTTGCATTATGATTAAATTGTTTGAAACTTATACTAAAATTCATAATCTAGTCGAATTTAATTTACAATCTGTACTAAGACTAGAAGTGAAGTTAATGAATAAACAATATGATTGTCAATAATATTAAGAATCAGGTAACGAAATCATTAAAATAAAATTTTCAACAAAGCCTAGAATAAAGAATTTATATTATTGATATAGCATCACAATTTAAATTGAGTAAAAAAGACTCAAAATTACACATATACATATTGTAAAATACGTTTAAATAATACGTAAATATGTAAAATATGTTAAATGATTTTTCAATTATTTTAATTCATGATTACTAGATCACATGATATGAGGATCGATTTATTGATTTTTGTTTCATTAACGCCCAATATCTGTCCATTGCTTTATTATTTTCCATTATTATAAAACTAAAATTCTTTCTATTCCTGAATTAAACAAAGCATATAAATTATTCTTTTCTTAATTATCTAGTAAAAAGATCTTTAAAATACAAATGTAATATATAGAAATTAATAATACTTAAACATTCAGTTTTAAACAAATGAACTTAGCGTTAACAAATAATGATAATTGATTTCATATAATCCAACAAGAATATAAACAGAATTTCGTAAAATTATAGAAATGTTCGTTTTTATATACATAAATTATTTTAGTTGAAGCAAATCCTATATAATAATATAGTTTTAAATTGTACTAAAAAATTTATTTTTAATTAAAAGGTGGTCGTTTTATGTATTATAAATTGTTTAAATTACAAAATATTTTATTTCGATGCTGCGAATACGGATAAATAAGTGTAAGCTATACAATTTTGAAATATGAAACTTTTTTTAATCGATTGCATCAAAGTCAATATTCAGGATTGTAATCGTTATAGCTCGCGAAATCGTAAATATTGACTCCGAAATTTCTCGATGATTTTAAGACCTTTGATTGAGGACGTCCTGTAATATTTATCTAGTCACCACATAGCAACTACGGTAGAATTCTCCAACCGTCTAAAGCTTGCTTCTCTACAATTCTCTAAGTATCTAGAGCTTGGACTTTGACGTCATGCAAAACTGTCGGCATGGCAACACCTATGCATTGTTGCAAGCTAAGTAATCTTCCGTCCGTATATTTAAAGGACGCACGCGACAAGCTCTTACTCTCGTTGTGAAATTCTCTCAGTGAAGACGCCATGGTACGGCCTGCCTTAGCAGGACCGCCATGGAATTCAACAGGCTTGTAGGCTTGCTGTAAATTTCTAAATCAATCAAATATCAGTTATTACTCTGCGCCTTGTGTAAGACGTTATTCTAATCGGTGCTGTACTCCGAATTGAGGAAATAATGCCCACTGTGTCTCGATAAGTGCCACACACACAACACTGCTAAAGCACACTGAGATAATGAGTAATTATATTATCATCAAGAGGAGACTCGTCCGTAAAGTACCACACGTAGTTCTATTCGAGGAGTATCAATGATTTGAACTTCTCGGTATAGCAACTTCCACTAAGCGCACTACAACAAGAAGACCTGGAGATTTACACCCTCAAACCTCGATTTACAGTGCACATTAATTCCACGTAAGAAACTAACGAGGAGCGATTAAGTCTCAACGATTCTCACCATCAACGTATAATCGTATTTGTGTGTTTATAATTCAACGATTCTCACTACCAACGTAGAATCATACCTATGTGTTTATAATTCAAACTCAATAAATATCCAATCATCCTGGTCTTTCGACCATCGGGTGACTGGAATTTCGAACAGTCAGTGTTCGGGATTGAAGCAGTTAAAAGCGGAATACAAAAGTGGGAGAAGTACAACCTCCCGGACATTTACGTTTATTACAAGTGAGCGAATTCGGTACGTTTGACCTACGCTGAAAACTCGAATATACGATTATAATTCCGAATAGCAATGCCAATGAACCTTCCAAGGCTATATCCTACTGACGTCACGACAAAGATCGGCATAGGAACAGACACCAGTGAGCTACCAGCGTCGCAAGCTCTTACGAGAATATTTAAGAGTAGCGCAAAGACGCCCATCTTCCTTATGCTATCACGCAGTCTCTACAACAGGCTCACTATTCTACCTTCAAGCATTACCACTACAGGCATCACTCACTGTAATTATTCACGTACGTAAGCATCAAGCAGTTCAACAAACCAATAGTGACGCCACACCATTAGAATCCGTTAAACTTAACATACAACTACCGGCGGACCTCACGCCTATGTAAGCAGCAACGGCAACACGTACGTTCCTTACAACCATACCAACAGCAGCGGCTCTAACCAGCACGTAAAATAATTGAAGAAACTTTATCAAATAACTCACTCACATTCTCCATTCACACACTTTATGACCATTAACTAATTATTATATTATTGTATTTAATAAAGGAAAGACAAGATACACTGTGTGTAGAATTGAATAATTGTATTTGCCTCCTCCACTTGCCCGCAGCATCTCAACCCACCATCAACGGGAGGTTTTCAGTCTGATCCCAGATAGTCATATAGTTTAATGTTTTAGAAATATATATTTACTAGATATTATGTATATTATTTACAAAATTATGATTTAGAATATAATAATAATTTAATCTATAATGTGATGAAAACTTTATTATTATAATGAGTAAAATCTATGTACTATATCCTAAGAATGGAATTTGTAATTATTTGAAAAATTCTAAAAATACAATAGGTTTACATGTACTTTATCTTATATTTTACTTACTTGCATAGCATCTAGTTGGGAAGCATGCATCATAACATTATCCGTTACGGATGTCACCTGCTGAAAAACCTCGTCTTGTAGACTTGGACTAAAGTACCCGCCGTCTTCTGGATAACCGGCCATTGAGAAGTTCTCTGTAATCGTCGTTTGTTGCTGCTGAGACTGTTGTTGCGTGTTTGTTTGTTGGTGTTGAGATTGAATATTATTTGGAACCGCAGTTGTTTGGTAAGTTAATTGGACTCGTTGTCCAGGATCTGAAGTGACACGCTTCACTGCTATCTTTGTCGTACCCTATAAAATGTATACGTTCATTCTTTATAAATAAATATGTCTATACCGTTAAGGATAATCTATTACATTTGCACAAAAATATAATCTAACTTAAAGACTTATTTAATATATTATTTAAAAATATATAATTCTTACAGATGTAGTTAAAAATTTGCTTCGATTATTTAATAAAAACTCCTAAACTTTTAGTATTTCATCTAAAAAAATTTTCTATAATTTACAATAACTAAATTATAATAAAGTCAAAATAAAATGCTATTAATATTTAAAAATAAATTGAAATATTATTTGTGCTATAGATTTACATTTCATAGAAAATTAATACAACTAATTATTGTGTTAAATAATAATTAAATTTATTCTATATTCAGAAAATGAAAAATAAATATCTTCTTGCATATGATTTTATTTGGAAATTTAAAATTGTTTTGATTCTTCATAAGGAGTAATTTTTATTAATCAATTTAAATGAATATATCTTCTTATGTACGAAAAATTGAATAATATTTTTTGTTTGTTTTTAAAATGATATAAAAAAGAGATAAAAAAGGTATTTGGACGAAACCTCAACGAAACTCCGCACCTTCAGTATCATATCCGCAAGAGCTTGTGCCTGCGCTTGAGTTTGCGCCTCTTGCAGTTGTTTTTGTATGGAGGTAACGTGACCGGTAACAGTGACGTTCGGTTGTCGAAAATGTTCACCATCGGATAGTCGTCGTATCTTTTCACTACTGGCTAGAGGCGGTGGTGCCGGTATGGCAAAGTTCATCTTACCGACTATATGTTGCTGTGGCTGCTGTTGCGATTTGCCATCCATTAATATCGGGGTCACCGCTATTTGATTGCCGAACAACGTTGTATTCGAACGTTGCTGCTGAACTGAATTAGCATCCGTTGCTATAGAATTAAAATTATATTAATATTAAAATATATTAATATTTTGTTCGTAATTTCAGAATTTATTTGAGAATGAAGTATATCTTTATTTTTTTATATTTTTAGAAGTTTAAAATTTTAAATTATTTTCGTTCTAAAGTAGTACTAATTTGTAAAAGATATTAATTTATAGAGTATAGTTTGAAATTTATATCAAATATTATGATTTATTTAGTTAATACACCAACTGTTTCAAACTAGATAAAGTTTTAAAATATTAAATAAACATGTATACACACACGTGCCTGTTTAATATAAATATATTAATAATAATTAATTATTAATTAACACATATACATAGATTTGCAAGATCTTTCGTTATTACTAAATCACATATAATTAAAATATAAAGTAGTTATCCATTTTTAAATACATCATCAATTATAAAAAATAATATTTTTTAAAAAATATAATGTATATGATTCTATAAATATAAAACAGTTAACCGAATTAAAATAACATTAATAACAGGAAAAGCAGGAAAATAGACAAATAAATAGATGGGGGTAAAATAATTACTAAAAATAATGACAATTAGAAGTATTTTAATTTCGTTGAACGTGAAATATATTTCATTAATTTTTTGAGAAATGTCCGTTTGTAAAGAAAAACTGTTAATTAGTGTATGTTTTTATTTAATTGAAGAGTTCCATTGTACACAACAACATTTTTTTCATTATAAAATCTATTAAATAATATAAATTACTAACATCAAATATATAACATAAAGATTGGCCGTCCTATATAAATATAAAGATTATTAATGATTATCCTATATAAATATAAAGATTATTAGAATTTCTAAAAAAATGTAATCAAAACATAATTAAAAACCTAATTTTTGAGTTTTATTAAAACTTCTTAACAAACATAATTTTAGTTGTTTTTCTAATACTCATATCCGGTATAAGCTTTTACGCAAAGCAATTTATTTAATATATTTTATAACCTCACTATGTTATGATATGTAATTGATATCTTCTTCGAATTCTGAACAAAAATATGACGAAAAAATAAATTATGTAAAAATAAATAAATAAAATGATCAAAAAACTTTGTCATTATAAAAGAATTTAAATATCAAGTAGTTCATTGACACTTAATAGTTGTGTAATAATTTTATTTATATGTTCGAATGTATTATGCCAAACTGAGAATTAAGCGAATAAATGGCTTGAGTATTATTATTTTATTTTATTTTTCAACCAAAATATGATCAAGAAGAACGCAGAGCCAACAGGTGAATAATTATAAAACGGTGAAGAAAAGGTGCAATATTCAATCAGAATAATATATGGGTAAATATTTAATGCATCGAAGAGATGTTGAAGATATATATATATAGACATGTAGTACTTTGAATAATTGAAATATTAATGAATTGATATATGTGAAAACAATATTTAAAAAATGTATATATTGCAACAAATTTTGAATATAATAAAATAAATTCACTATATGCATTTATATTCACACATAGATTTATAATATATTAATGTATCCATATAATATAATAATAAAATTGAATTTGAATAATAATGATTTTTATTAATAAAAATTTATGATTTATATTGCAATCCCAAAATTACTTGAATTTTTCTATTTCGTCTCTATTGAAATGCTGTAGATATAGTTTATCAAAAAATTATAAATGTATTTATATATACAAGCATTAAATATAAGAATTATCCAAATCTCATAAGACGTAGAAGATCAATACATTGCTGTTTATTTCAATGAAGATCAAAGATACATAAATTAATCATATATTACAGAGAAACTCCTTTATAGTTCAATTTCTGCCAAATCATTCTCTTTCGCATCAATTTTCTTTCTCTTTCTCTCTTTGCAGTACGGAAGTTGAAGCTGTAAATCGCTAACAGTGTATAAGTGTATTCATATATACGTACTCATGCTTGAATTCAATGAGATTTAGGCACCTGATGGATTTATTTAGTTCAAATGGATATTACGAGAAATATTCTTGCGAACATTTTCAATAACTTATTACTTGATCGCGCTTCCTCGGGCATTGGTAACACTACCAGGTTTATAAATTCGAGAACGCCATTACAGTGAGTGTATGGAGAAAGTATCCATGGTCGTACTGTCCACCATAGTGCGTGTTCTTGAATCGTTAAGCCTCGGGATTCGCAGTCTGTAGGGTTTGACATACCGGGAACGTACGTCTAATGAGAGTCTGGAGTAATCTTCTAAATTTGAGTGACCCTGTTTCTCACAAAGTCCTTCCATCATGATGCATGAGACTTGATCCATGTGAGTGTTAGCCGAGAATCCGTCCACAAGTATGTTGCCTTTATCTTCATGTTCAGTGTGGTCCGAACGTACAGCATAAGTTTTGATAGTACTAGAGCCGCAGCCAACTCCAACTTTGGGATGGTGAGCTAGTTGAGGGGTGGCATTAACTCATAGCCTTGAAGCGCTACATCAGCCCGATGAAATTCGTACTACAATTTGAATGCAATGTATGCGGAATACCTCTGCAAGCCGAGAGTTTTTGATATGCCGCGATGAATTCTTGTGTTGTGTGCGGATATGAAACCATTGGTTATGTAGTCACTGACCACTTCAATATGTACCGCAGATGCAGCAAAACGCAAATACATACCTTGTGGGCGAGAAAGGCTTCCACTTCGTGCATTCGGACACTATACGTGGAGGTCACAGTCAGTTCCTAAATTTGGAAGTGAGTGCTGATCTCTTCCTGCTACCACTTATGCTCGAGCACTATACATGGGAATCAGAGTCAGTCCTATGCTGATCTCTCTCTACTACCACTTATGTCTGGGCGATATATATACCTATAATATATATATATATATATATCTCGTGGACGTCAAATGCTGCTGCTATCTGACTTGAATATTTCTCGAACTGAATTATATGTTATCACTACGCCGTTGGTTTCTTCTTCCAATGGCAGCCGCCCGCCTTACAGAGGTTCTGCATTTGTAGTGCGGTTTCGGTTAGCTGTTACGACGTGTCCGCACCTCAAAAGATGTCATCAACCTATATGCCATGAGTGATGGATGGCAGTGCCAGGGGGTATTCTCTCCCTCGTCTTCTATCAGTTGCAGTAATATTCTGACTGCTAAGAATGAAGCAGCTCTTGTGTCATAGGTAACTGTGATATGGCACTTCCTTGTGTTGTTTGTCAATCCAAAAAATTCTCTACAGGTATCAGTTGTCTTTATGAACTTGCATCTGTAAAAAGATGTCGATATCAGCAGATCCAGATTAACGCGTCTGAAATTTCTGGCTTCAAATTTACACCAGCGTGCATTATGTCATTAATGGAGTATCCCGAAACAGACTCGCTGGAGACAATGAACACCACTCTTAACCTTATGGTCACGCTATCTGGTTTAAATATGTCGTGATGTAGCAGATAGTAGTGAGTAGATGACGTGACACTGGCGAAGCTCTCTTCATTTGCTTAGGTTCCTCATATTTCGTTATGAATTGTTGATAGTGTTGACGATAGTTTTCGTCTTTTGAAAATCATCTCGTTAAACTTTGCAGACATCGATGGGCAGTATTGTGAGAATGGCCGAGAACTTCAACAAATTCTTTAAGTGGGATCTCTACTATGTATCTTCCTATTGAGTTTATTTTGAAATGATCCTCATATCATTGCTCATTAGGTGTGTATTGATAATCGTTGCTCTTTGGCAGTTCTCCTTGCACCCAAAATCTTGTCAATAGTTCTTGCAAAGTGTCCTCTACTTCCTGTGTTGACGCGTAGAATGCTACTGAGTTCAAACTGTTTATCACACTGATAGGCCGAATCAAAGTCTTGGAAAATGCCTGAATTCTGAACAGTAGGAGAGATTTAACTTTGTAACCTTTGTGTTATCCACATAAAATTTTATTTAATAGTTATTTAGTGATAAAAAGATCCTAGGTGATTAAAAATGAATTTAATTAGAAGTACTAAATAAGTCGATTTGCTAGCTTAATGTTTGATATTGTGCTTCTAGAAGTTTAAATAGATAATACTTTATTTCAAATATATTTAACGTATTTGAATTAAATAGGAATATAATACTTAATTAAAAATAATGAATAGCTTTAAATGTTATATATTTCCATTATACTATTAAAGGTATTTGCTAATTTACGTTGGAAATTGAGCGTTAATAAATATATTTTAATATACCCTTTAATTATAATTATATATAAAATACAAATATATTTCTATATTTAATTATTTCACTTGTACTTTATTATTCTAATATTATCAAAATTTTACTATTTTAATAACGAATAATGTTCATTTTTTACATGGTTAGATTTGTGATCGATAGCATATACAATGTTAAAACTTACCTGTCGTCCTTTTTTGTATAATTTTTTCTTCTATAAGAGCTCGAACACTAACAGAAGCTGTTTGCAACGGCGGTCCAACAACCTCCTTCTTTTCACTCTTTTTATTCTCAGCATCCTATAAATATAAATATGTCAATAATGGCATAAAACGATATTATTTGAATGTTTTAAATAAACACTGTCCAACATGTGCATTAAGTCATTTGGATAATATATTGTATTTTGTTAATTTGAACATTAGTTTTTATACAGTTCCTTGATAACCTGCAATGAAAGGTCATGGTAAGTAACACATTATTTTATTAATTTATAGCTAAGGAGTTCATGCAATTACAATTGATATCTCTTCGTAAATTATATTACTCAATAAACTTTTACAAAGAGGAACTAAAGCTGAACTCCAGGGTAATAAACTAGAATTATTTGGAAAATGAAGAAGCCTCATAATACAGGATTAACAGACCTTGAGATATTACAAATTAATAGGCTCAACATGAACACGTGGTTATGCAATGCTCGACTTAGAAGTATGAAAGCAAGCTGATGTTAGCTAATCACTAAGCGATGTTAATCGAAACGGCATTCAATTATCCGGTGATAGAATCTTCGACAGATGTGAGAAAAGGATCTACGTTTAATCGTTATATATATTCAGATCGTTCCAATATTCTGGTATTCATTTATGTTTCATATATTAATATATTGAGTTCTTAATTCAGAATTGTTTTAAATAGATTTCGATATGATGAATTCAAATATTATAAATATAAATTTCACATGAATTACAAAAAGTATTAACATAACGGAAATGTTAAATTAAATTGTTTAGTTATTTTAGTGAAAGTTTTCCATTAATATATTCAAAAATATGAAAGTACAATATTTAAATTTGAGATATGTCTTCCATTTTTTATTTTCTTATAATGTTTTTATTATATTACTTATTTATTACTTTTTCAACCACAAATCGTATACTTTTATCGTTTAGGAATAAATAATTTCGAATTATAGAATATTTATATTATCTAAGATTTTTTAAATTTATTCACTATATATGATTTTCTTCAAAACTTCAAAACTTTAGTACACATGATATTATGATTTTTAAATCACAAATGTATTTTAATTATCACCCTTTTTATATAAATATCAATAATAACTGTTGATATATAACCTCTTTTACATATCATAGTTTAATTGTCAAAGTATATTTTCCGAATTTATATTTAGATAGAGCAATAAATAAGATTGCATAAAAATAAGTTTTGTAGTTTCTTTTATATCTTCGATAGTTTATTAGAAATATGAACCTTTAAAAATAATAAAATTCTTTCAATAAAAATGAATTTGGTGGATTAATTTTACTCGAGTTTTCAATTTAACATTTAACATATTAACTTTATATATTTAATAATTATCTGGATTTAGCGATAATGCATTCCATTTAATCAGGCTTTCCATGTAGTGAAACATTACTGTATCGGTGATGTAAACAAATCAGAGCATAGCTGAGCACAATATGAATAAGAGAACATAGATTTTTAAAAAATAATGCACTGACTGCTTCTGGCATCTGACGATCCTGCTTCTGGATCTTAATTTACCAATTTACACTTCAATATATATTGATTGATTTCCATTAGTAAATGTTAATATTATTCAAATTTGCACTTTCATTCGTGAACAGAGATTTATGCCGTTTCATGCCTAAATACAGACACTTTACACCATAAGGATAAACGTACAAATAAGAATTTTATGAATTGACACACGGAATTTTAGAAAGTTGTTAGAAACTTTGTAATACTCAATTTTTAGAATTTTATCCATGTGAAAAGAAATTGTGAATGCATTGACAATAAAATTTTATTATTATTATTTTTTATTTCTAGTATGAAATTGCAGCTCTTCTTTGTTATATATCAAGATTAGACTTTCATGTTCAATAAAAAAAATTTATTTAATGGTATCGTTTTAATAGGAAAATATTGCTATCATAAATTTTAATTGTAAATGTTAAAATACCAAATTATTATATATATTTGTATACCTATCGTTAAGAAATATTTATAAACGATAAAAGATTTCTCATGCTGTTTCGACATTGATTATAATTTTTTTGTGATTATAAAAATCAACAAATAGTAGTTTTTCAGATATTGAAAACGAAAAAGAAAATATATAATAATTTAATTAGAAAACGTGTTATGCAATTATTGTCACATAAAAACTTTATATCATTTATGAATTATATTTAAAAGTATGTAACATATAATTATGGGAATTTTTTGATATTTTAATTTAAAATTAAATAGAAATAAAAGTTCGTGTCAATTAGTTAATAGAATCTTAAAGCTGTGTAGAAATAAAAAAACTATAATTCCTTGGTATTTAAAATAAATATGAAATAATTTTTTAATCATAAAAGTAAGAAATATTATCAATACGTATACAATAAAATATTTTTTTATATAAATATTTTGTTGTTATATCTATGTACATTTAGGCAGCAAAAAAATAATACTATAGAATATTTATACAAATAATAAATTATGCTTACTATTTGAGTAATTAATAAAGTATTACATACTAAATCTTTCAAAATTATAATGCTAAATATAGGACATTTTTTATTAAACAAAATAGAAAGTGAGCTTTTATGTTATTTTATAAATTTATTCGATTAAGATTCACCTAAAATATTTTATGCAAAAATTCAATTTATAAAAACTTAGGGATGGATGAGAAGAAAAATGGATCCTGCCAATAGTATGTTAATATCTAATCATTAAATCGACTTAAATTTTTTGTATACATATGCATATTGACATATATACATTTGTATGTATTAAATGTCATCGTACTGCGTTATAAGAATTCTTACTCTTGCCATCGTATTCTGTCTTTTCTTTTTCCTATGTTTTGCTTTTATTTGAGGTTTTCATATATCGAAGTAAATGCTTCTATAAAGCATATTAATCCAGAATCCCACTGGAGGACAATCGAAATGTTTCTTTTCTTTTACTCTCCGTCTTTATCTTTTTATTTCATTTACCTTTGATCTCAATTTATAATCCTCTATGAAACGTAAATGCCCAACGTTTTCCAAAGAGTTCAACCGACTGGATTCAATTTTCAAAATCGAACCAATGCTTATACGTGATTCATCTCTTACTGTGATCAATGGTTCTCTCTTTTATTATTTAATTTTATATTCTTTAGAATAGTTTCCCAAAAATGAATATATATACACACATGCGTGCGTACACTTACTCATACATATATTTATATTTAAAAAATATCAAATATAAAATATTGATTGATATAATTTATTCTAACTAACTCTTAATTGTCAGTTGCATCCGTATATGTTCCATGAGCTACACTGGTTACATTAGTTGCTAGACATAATACATTGTCGAATTATAATTTAATCCTTTTCAATATAGAAAATATAATTTAAAGTTTTATAAGTATTATACCTTTTCACAAAATTTTATTAATTTCTTAAATGTTATTAATAAATAATGATATAAAGTACGTAAACCACAATGTTTTATTGATCATTGAAAATTAAAAAAAAATAAATGTTAGAGAGAAAATATATAACCTACCTTTTTGAAGTAACCTCCGTGGAGTCTCATGTGGCCATTGAGGGCGGGTATATTCTTGAACTTCCGATGGCACAAATTACACTCCACCGGTTTGGGTTCGACCGAAGATTTGCTAGAAACTGAAACGATGCCACCGGGGGATGCAGAGTTCCCCATTGATGGGTTTCCTCCAGCCTTTCCACTGTTTCCATTTCCGAGTGAATGCGTTTGTGATTGCAATGACTGGTGCTGTTGTTGCTGTTGTGTATGCTGTTGTTGAGCCTGTTGTTGAGCTTGTTGTTGAGCTTGTTGCTGCTGGAATAAGAGAAATTCTACATGAGTTTAGTGAGTTAGGAATCTGATTGCATATTTATTACATGTACAATACAATGCAAAAATTAAAAAACGTGTATTTATCATGATATATGTACTTAAGAAAACCAGAATTTCAAGAAATCAATTTCGTTTTGATATGTATAATTAATTGTAATATAAAATCCATGAAAAGTAACGTGAAAAGATTTTTGAAAAGTTATATATTAAAATTTATATTCAACTGTCTCTAAATATTACATGCTATATTTTAATATAGTATTAAAAATTTATGTTGTAAAGCAGCACTTGAATTATAAATTATGTTTGCTTATGTTTAACGACAAATTCTTATGTATAATAAAAATCAAGACAGAAGACATAGTCCTCTCAAAAATTAAATACACTATTGTTTGAGCTCTAGGAATTATTCCAAAATCTGTCAAATGATGAGGAAGAAACACAGTTGGAAAACAAGAGAGACAATAGATGTTTTATGAATCTCTTCCCTTGACTTATAAAAATCAAAAGAACTTCTTTGACATTTTCTCCTTTATAGCTCATAAGACAATGAAAACTTGGTTTGTAACATATATATCAGAGAAACCCAGGAGGAAATATACACAACATGAGCATACACACACACAAGCAAATATCAGTTACTTTCATGTACCATTATACGAAGCATTCGATGTTTAATGAATTTAATGAATTCCTGTTTGTATTGTATTTTACTGCACTTACTATATATGCATACTCATTCTATTCTCGTTGGTCGAAGTACATTCCGAGCTTTATGAGTTTTTCATACAAATGCGACTCATACGAATATAGCCAGCTTATTATAAAATAAACAGTATGTAGTGTTTTAGAAGGAAAATTTTTAATTGAAATACTATTGCTCGTAAGATAATTTAATGAGCTAACAAGTTTGGAATGTTATATTTATTATACTATGAAGTGTTAACATTAAAATTAATTAAGAATTTAATTAAAATTTGTCGTTTTCAAAAATATGTAAATGTTACGATATATTACGATAAAAAAATCTAATAGAGGGCATGCTTTTTTAAAGTACGTAGTATTTAAGACTTCCTATTTAGAAATATTTGATAACACAAATATGAAAAAGATTTAGTACCTGTTTGATTAAGGTATTAAGTCAATAGTAACTTGATATCTAAAAATTACAAAGATTTATTGTACTTTAATATATTAATAAAAAGAAATTATGAGTTTTTATATACATAAAAATTCAGCGACAGTAATTTAAATGCAAACTTAAAATTTATTTCATCAATACGTCTCTCAATGTTTTACTTATTCATACTATTATACACGCCTGAGTTGTCTTGTTTTCCTATAATGTTTTATTCCTCTTTCGTCCCTAGCGGTTTATGTAACACTGTCGAGGAATATTAAAAATTCATGAAAGAACTACATAGGTTCATAAAAGAAGGGAACGAAGTGGCAGAAGCTACTACCTATAGATCGGAATCGCGCAACAACGTGTGATAGGTTTTTGTTCTCAGTTTTTATTCTCCTGTGAAAAAGACGTATGTAGCATCTTACTCCCATTCCTATACCTTCATCTATTCGTTTCAGCATCTATGTTTTGCTCTTTGGTTCTTACTTATGCAATTAAATAAAAACAAACAATTTAGTTCTACGTTTTGTCCATACGATTGCCTATTCAATGAGAAATAGTACAAAAAATTGAAATACATCATAATTTTTTATTCAGTTGTAATTTCTTTATATTGTCTATCAGTTTAAGTTCGTATACTTAGATATATTCATCAATATAATAATGATAATACATTAATAAAAAAATTATTACATTTTGTTCAATATAAATAAATATTTACATATTAATTTGAATTTTATTGAAATCAATATAAAATATAATAGTAAATCTACTATTATGTTATATATATACTAATACATACTAATAGTAGATAAAAATATACTTTTGGTCATAAAATGTATATATATTAAAAAATTTAATTTTATGCTAAATTTTTTCATTATTTAATCAACACTGTGCAGGAAATTAATTAAGAAAAAAATTTTGTAAGTTATGTCATTTGATTATCTATATTAGATTTTGTAAATTTCATTGAAATATATCTTCATACACATAACAATTTTTAAATTTATTATATTTTATTTTTTATATTATTGAGTTTAAAATTCGCAGTATCAAAGTCATTATTATTAAGCATAAACATTATTTTTTTTAACAGAAAAATACTTTTCGGTCACTTATTGTTAAAGCTAAACCTGCAAAAAATTTTCTCTTAAAAACGGGCGGAAAATATATAAAACCTTGGATTTTTTATTACTTAAGCGAATTTATATTAAATGGAATGTTGAACGCAAGAAGCTGTTACATACTAGCTTCTGGTATTTGTTCATACTATAAAAATTGTAATTTCAGAACGAGACTGAAATACCTTAGATGAGCAGCATTACTGCATAAGACTAAACTGACTAAATGACTGGATAACGTAATAAAATTTCGAGTCAGACTTCCTGCGCTATACTTCCCATTGTTACATTAGCTCATTCTCGTTTAGCAGTCGTCAAGGATTCGCTAAGCCAGAAGCGTCGAACGGAAACTCATCCTATGTCGATGCCATTCTCTCATTTTCTTTCAAGCTTACTTGATTATTTTTAAGTCACTCTCTCCTAGATTAAAGCTTCCTTTTGCTTATTGCATTAAAGTATTTATATTTTATACTCTAGAAATGAGGTTCAATTTTTTCTAATGTTTCTTCAGAGTTTCAGAGACAAAATTTGAATATAAATAAACATTATATTTACTTTGATTTTGATTCATAAGGAAATTTAAATTTATAAATAGCACATATTGTGAGCATAATAAAAATATGCATTATATATAGTTTAAACTTTTAAATTAAATAAATTACAGTAGAATTTTAATTATTAAGTATATATATTTATTAAATATAATTATGAATTAATTCTATAGATTTTGTTGTATGTCTATAATCAATAATCCTTTTATTTTAGAGTATAAAATTATTTATAACGATAATCTTCTAGATTTCTAATAAAGAAATATAAATGATAAAATGTAGAATATCATAACTACATTAATTGTTTAACTATTTATACATTCACAATAATAATTTTAATCAATAATTCATTTACAAGAGTTATTTCAGCATACATTCTTACTCAAATCAACAGTTTAGTTAATTATATATATATATATATATATATATGTATGTATGTGTGTATGTAAGGAATGAATTATTTTATTTGATTTCAAATAAAAAAGTAATCAAGTAATCGAATAGAGGGAAAAATAAAGATCAAAATATACATACTTTCTAAATCATGAATGCTCTATTGATATCGATTACTTTCGTATATTACTAGAAATCTATTATGTACTATAATTTTACTGTACGTAATTGGTTTCGTGTTCTCTGTCACCTGTTGTTAAAACGTTAAACTTAATTTATTGAATGTTCTATATAGAAAAAATTTACTTTCTAATGAGAAATTTTCTATTAATTGTGTTTATACTTGAATAATAATTATTAAATTTTCGAATACAAAAATAGATTGAATAATGAAAAGTAATTAAAATTAGTTGAGATTACTTGAATTATATAAACAATCATTAAATTTAACATGTTTAATAACATTCAATAACAATATTAATAACAATATTAATGTTCAACGAATAAATATTTATTTATTTTATAATTTTTATAATTATCAAGAAGTTGATTACTAATTTTCACTAATTTCATTTTAATTTAAAAACATTAATTATGTACTGACAAATAATTGAAAACTTTTTTATTGAATAAACTCTTAAGTATTATTGAAATGAATATGGTGTTTTAATAAAAATAATGTTCAATTGTATTAGTAAATATATATAATATTACGACCTTGTAATTTTCTTTTTAATACTCATGTGAAATTGAATATTAAAATATGTATATTTGAATTAAGATTCTTTGTAATATACTTTACCAATTTTTAGAATCCTTTCAGTGAAATGAAATCAAGTTTCAAATTTAAAATCATCTGAATAAAAAAAATTGGTCATTATATGATAAATGACATTCTATTACAGAATGCTATTATGAAATAATTTATGTAATTGAAATAAATTCAAGACCCTAGTTTAATGATATACTGCTACATAAATTTGCATAGTGATTTGTAATGTTTTAATCATATCTTGCACCGTCAGCTTTTACTCTTTATTCTTTTACTGAAGAAACAAAAGAAAGCAAAAAAATTGGAAAAAATTGTAACCCAGAAATGATTTGAAATTGTCGAGCAGTTGGCTCTTTTAGATTACTTTACATAATGATATTACAATAGGCATTTACACACTGCCATAAATTTTAGCTTGATATTGTCAAAGTAATTTTAGCTTGATATTGTCAAAGTAAATAAAGATACAAGGGTATGCATACGTATAGGGGCCACACTTATATACTTCAAGAGTAACTGTAGATGTAGAAGCTCTCACAATAATCGAAGCAGAATGAGATAATTCGCCGAGCTCGCGAACCGACTCGGTAATTGCGAATAATTGCGTTGTCTTCGGTCGTCGCCGTCATTCTATCCTCCCTATGGTATCTGATTTTCCTCTTCTGGTTCTTCTTGCACTGTACATACACCTACATACGATTTTCTGACAAAGATATTGTCATCTTCGTCGTCATCGTTGCCTGTGACGGTTACAACGTGATAATGCGGCTTCTGCTTTTACCCACGCAACATAGTGAAGCTTTGCAATATATATGCCTACGTACATAGTTACTTCATTGAACCACTTATCAGCTCTCTCTCTCTCTCTCTCTCTCTCTCTCTCTGTCCCTCTTCCTCCTTCCCTCTGTCACTCCCATTCTCACTTTCTCTTTCTCTCTTCCTCTTTTTTTTATGCGAAGTTAGAATCGGATGCTGGAAATTCT